TCTTTAGTGGTCAAGAGGAATTTTTTCCTCATCCTGGATCTTGGGCCTTTGCATTTTCTGTTGAATCTAAGGATTCAACCTTGGGGGTGATGGTCTTCCTTGTAAGAGTTCTTATGTATGTCTCTATTTTAATGGAATTTTAGTGGCAGTTCCACATCATCTGTTGGGTTGGAAAGTAGGGTTAAATCTTAACTCTGTCTCCTAAGATCAAAGAACTGAGTGAGAGAAGAGATGCACTGGGATCTGTGTGACCTCACAGCCATGAGTCCTCTATAAGCCTCAGTTTCTATATTTTTAATTTGAGGAACAACACTACCTACTTTGAAGTATTATTGCAATCATTCATACAGGTAGTAGTTGGTAGGTGCCCTTCAACAGATGAATAGATAAAGAAAATGTGGTACATATATGCAATGGAATATTACTCAGCCATAAAGAAGAATGAAATTATGGCATTTGATGGTAAATGGATGGAACTGGAGACTATTTGCTAAGTGAAATAAGCCAATTGCAAAAAACAAAGGCCAAATGTTCTCTCTGATATGTGGATGCTAACCTACAGCAAGGGAGAGTGGAGAGTGAAAGAATAGAAGTTCATTGGATTAGACAAAGGGGAATGAAGGGAAGGGAGGTGGGATGAGAATAGGGAAGATAGATATAAATTCCCTATGTTCATATATGAACACATGACCAGTGAAAATTCCGCATCATGTACAATGACAAGAATGGGAAGTTATAATCCATGTAGGTATAATATGTCAAAATATACTTTACTGTCATGTATATCGAAAAAGAACAAATAAAAAAAAATAAAAAATAGGTAGTGGTTGGTTAAGCACTTGCATCTGGTAGGTTTTCAATAAATATTGACTATTATTATTATTGTTGTTGTTATCCTTTTATTGTCAAATAAAATAGATGTAGAAAATGGCCCAAACAAATAAATAGCTTTGTGGATTATCATAACACACACATGCTTGTAAACACCACTAAGGTCAAGAAATTGAGCTTTGTCAACCACTCCAATTTTCTTTTTCATGTGTTTCAGTTCAAAGTCAGCCTGGTAAAGTAATACATTTAGCGTATTCCTTTAAGATTTTAGCTTGGGATATATTTAGTTGGAGGATGCCCCAACTGTTACACCTCAAGTATAGCTGTTAAGGAGGCAGTTGGGTATATAAGTATGGAATTCAGGGAGCCGCCAAGGTCAAGGAACAAGTTTGGGCACAGTCAACATATAGGTGGCATTTAAAGCCATGGAACTGGTGAGGTTACCTAGCATGACCAGCCAGGTGAAGCACAAATGAGGAGTCAAGTTATCACTTGGCTTTGTGCTATAATAATTAGGTAAATATTGATTTCTCCAAACGACCCCTGTCAACTATGAAGTACATAAGGACATTCAAAAAACTGTTTTCTAACTACCACAGAATATCAAAAACTTTGTTCTTTGAGGAAGTAAGAACAAGATATCCTATACTTGTCTGGTGAATCTAAATCACTTTGACACACATAGGCAGGCTCAATTTCCAGGTCGGGTAGAGGGCATCAGATAAAGGGTGTTATGAGAGTCTCTCTTAGATATTGTATCACACATGAACTTTTGGGGGACACTTCATATCTAAACCATAACATGGTGACAAGGTGGGGATAGATGAGACAGAGGAAAACTCTTAGAGGATGAGTGAGTTACACCATGGACAATTAGAGTTCAATGCTCTGGGGATACTCTGAGAGATGGTGTAGAATATACTTCAGTATTGAACCACCAAGGGACAAGGGAGGGAATGTATCTGTCTACACAATCCTGGCCCTTGGTTGAAGGTCATTCTTGGGAGTTGTAACTCTCTAGCATTTCTGGTGAGCTGGCATGCACTCGTAGATGAGGCAGAGTGATGCTTTGTATGTGTGTGGGGGTGAATTTTTTGGGGTGACCTTCAGGATGGGCAGAGGGGATACGGCATGGCACCATGGTGGGTGCTTTTGTGTGACCTTATTCACTTTCATGACTTTTAAATGGAGAATAGAGTACTGAACTGCACTGGTTTAGTGGGAAGATTGAGTACATTAAAGTTCATAAAGTGTGTTTTAGCTAACTTTTCAGTGCTGTGACCAAAGAACAAGAACAAATTTCAGGAAGAAAAGTTTATTTGGGCCTCATGGTTTCAGGGTCTCAGTTCATAGACAGCTGACTCCATTGCTGGGGCTCAAGGTAAGGCAGAATATCATGGGATAAAGGCCCAGAGGAAGAAAGAAGCTGCTCAGCTCATGGGTTGGTCAGGAGGAGGGGAGGAGAGAGAGAGAGAGAGAGAGAGAGAGAGTGAGTCCATCCTCAGGGTCTTCAAAGGCATTCTCCCAGTGACCCACCTCCTCCAGCCATGCCCCATCTGCCAACAGTGATCACTCAGTCCATTCAAACTAGGATGGACTGATTAAGATACAGCTCTCATAATTCAATCATTTAACCTCTGAATATTCCTGCAGAAACACAGGGGAAGGCTCATAGCAAAACCATAAAAAGTGCTTATTATAGTCCCTGGAACATAGTTAATGTCCATGAATGATAGCCTTAGCAGCAATAAATTAATGTGGGAAGACAATGACTCTTCCTCTGTACCTGACTTAAAACTTTCTTTTATCACTATAATTTGTGACTAGAGTCAGAATATGCAATCATGGCTTTGGGATAAAGATTTTTCTTTGAAGCATCCCACTTCTGTGGGAACAGAACCTATTTTATGTGAGATTATAGAGCCAACTAGCCTAGCAAAATACAATTATTTTCTCACTAGTAAAGCTTTTGCCAATAGCTTGTGTGTTTTGTTGCCCTGTAGGGAAGTAAAATTTGCACAGGACAGAATTTGTACCCATGAAGAACATTTACCAGGTCATGCTGAATCTCAGAGTATATCCACGTTGACATAGATGCCAAACTGATTGTGTTTTATTTTTAATTTATTTTTTACCATTGATCTGATCATAGATATAATCATGCCTTTAGTATATCTCTGTATGTGCTTTCCTAGAGGAAAATGGAAGGGGAGTGGAAGGAAACAGAATCTGCTCATGTTGGAGGAGGGAACATAAAAAATAATAAGGGAATTTGGTAAACAGCTCTGTCATGAATGAGGAATCGAGTTTATTCTTTATTTGAGGTGGGTGGAGCTGAGTGTGGCCAATGTTGTTTATAATTTGAGAGGTTCCAAGAGATAAGGCATGAGAGGGATGGGTTGTGTGCTGTCCTCACCCCTCCTGGAGGATGGAATTAAAATCAGGTAGGTGGAAGTCGAGTCTCCTAGTCAAGACCCAGAGGACAAGAGAGGGTTGTGTGTGCCCTGTGGAGGCACAGGGGGTGGCTCCTTCCCCCTCTATGTGTTATTGGGATCTGATTTTGTTCAGCTATCAGATGGTTGTTCCTCAATCTTGGAAAATGTGGTCTAGTACCAGGAGATGAATAATATCTAGTCCCTCCCAATAGCCATAATCCTTCTGTATTTCCTAAGATTGATTTGGAGTGGCCAAGTGGTCCAGAAGTCTGATGGGGATCTTAAGAAATCTTTTCCTTTGGTAAAAAGAGATGGAGGAGACAAGGCCTGCCTGATTTTTCCTCCTGATTTTGGATTGGGATTTTGTGAAGACATGATGTTTGGCACTGTGGAAACTATTATGTGACACTAAGGGGACATCTTCATAGGATGAGAGTAAGGAAGTAGAAAGATGGAAAAATCCTGTGTCCTTTTGCGCTGAGATGCTGAATCAAACTTGGGACTCATTGCTTTTGCCTTCTTTTACTATGAAATTCCTAGTATTTAAACCTCTTTTGATAGGCTATTTTGTTACTGAAGCCCAAAGCATCTTCATTGAGAGAACTTAGGATAAAGAATAAAGTTTGGAAGAATATCAAGACCCTGATGTTAGGAGCAGGGATCCATAAAAGAGAGGAAGGCAGAACTGGACCTCCTGGAGAGGACTTTGAATACCTCTGACTGTGGGAAGGGATGGACTCTTATCCATCAGGAGGACTGGCAATATTCCCAACTGCCTGAGGGGGATGAAAGCAGGAGTAGAACTTTGTTGAGGTGCTGTGGACTGTTGCAGCCATGGCAAGCCCTAAAGTTCCATCTATGGGAGACAGAGGAGTCAGGGCCAACAGGATATTTCAGCCCTGGTAGCTAATGGTGGTGTAGGAAACAGAGGCATTGGAGCCAAACAGGAGTGTTTGAACCCTGACACTCATTTGATCTAAGCTTCAGTTTCCTTAGTTATAAAAAGAGGAAATTCATATCTGCCCCACTGAATTACTATATGGGTTAAGATACACTTAGTCCTATAAATTCCCTAGGATATAGTGGTATTTCAAATGATAGCTATTGCTAAGTAATAGAGACCTACAGAGATAACAAACATACTTTATGACCTTTAGAGACATGGTCTATTGCTGTTTTGTGAGATGGGGCCAATTTAAGACTTGTTAGGGTCATCAGGTGTCAAACTACCCTAACTGGTTTTCTAAGAGAAGACCCTGGGGATGGAGTTTCTGGAAATGATTTCTTTTCTTCCTATAGAAGTATATTCAAAACAATAGACGTGTGTTTTGGGTGGGAGACATTAATGACGTTTTTCCTTGAGCAGGGAGGAAGGTGAAGACCCAAGATGTGTAGGGCCAGCAGCATCAGGAATGTTAGAGATAGGTGGGATTTCTCAAAGCACACGGAAAACAAATGTAAATAACCAGAGCTTCCTGCTCACGGATGTGAGGTGGGAGATGAACCAAAATAACCACTTCTGAAGAGTGGGAGACTCTGAGAAGCCACCCCTTCTCCCCTAGAGTTCCCTCCTACACGCCCACTCTAAGTAATTTCTAAGTCTGTGATAATTCACAGAAAGAAGAAGAATAGGGAGTTGCTGGCGTTTGTAGTAACAGGATGAGAAAGTGCGAGACTTCCTGTTATGTGCGTGTGACAGCTGGTGATAAGTGGAGGGCCCTGCACAGGAAATCCGCTCAGCTTCTGCAATGTGACCTGCCTGAAACTTGGGCGCTCCTTCAGTCAGGATGTCCATGGCGGGACAAAGGGGATCCTGGACCATGGGCGATGTGGTAGAGAAGAGTTTGGAAGGGCCCCTGGCACCCTCTACAGAAGAGCCCTCCCAGAAAAGTGGAGAATTGGTAGAAATCTTAAATGGGGAGAAGGTGAAATTTGACGACTCAGGGCTGTCCTTAATTCTTCAGAGCGGCCTGGAGACCCTCCGAGTGGAAAACGCTCTGACAGATGTCATCTTGTGTGTGGACATTCAGGAATTCTCCTGCCACCGCGTGGTGCTTGCTGCGGCCAGCAACTACTTCAGGTCAGCGCGCCTGGAACCAGAGCCAATCTGGGTGCAGGTTGCAAAGAAAATCAGTGTTGATGTGAAAGCCCAAGCTAGCTAGTTTGCTTTCACATTTATGGTTTATATACATCTATTGAGGTTTGTGTGTATACGTAAAAGTACAAGAAAGGGAGGTATTGAACTTTAGATTTTAGGATGTAGGCCACATTTTGAGAGAGACTGGCATCATTTAAAAGCAATGTTTATAAATAACAGTGAACTTTCTGTGTATATGTATGTCCTTGTTCCAGAAGATGGGATATGACTTAAGTCATGGGGATTTTTTACCCTGTCTTTGTTCTGACTAACATGTTGGAAAAATAATGATGTCTTTATTCATCAACAGAAATAGAGAAAAGGATGTGGCCCCTCTTTTGAAGTTAGCGAGTTAAGGGCCTTTGGGTGTGTGCGGGAGGTGGTGGGAAATTTAGATGCAAAAGGCTCTGGTTCCAACAGATCTGTGGCCTCAACAGTGGGAGGACCTGGCGTCAGGAGATCTGGGTTCCATCCCATTTGGTCTCTTAATGGGAGTCTCTTAATGTTCTGAATTTTACCTGTCAGATGAGGACAGTGATGATTACCTCTCAGGATTCTTGCAATAATTAAACACGAGGGTGAAAAGGGTCTGACAGAGTGCCTGGCATATGGTGGACTCTCATATATCTTCGTTGAAATTCTTCACCCCATTCTGCTTTGTTCCACTAAGAATTACTTTTTGAGGGTTTACCATGAGCAAATCCCTGCAGTAGGAAAGTGGGAGAATCAAGAACCCAGTGAACACATCTGGATCCAGCATTGTCCACGTGAACAGGGACTCAGGCAGGGAACCAGTCCATGAAGACAGTGTGAATGCAGAAGGTATTTTGGGAATGTGAAAAAGAAATACCTTTATCATTTTTCTTATCAAGATTCTTTTTAACTCTCCGTTCTGGCTGAGGAAATCAAGTATCCTGGAAGGCATTTTATGTTTTTATTTTTTTGAGGTACTTAGGGGAAAAAAATGTCTCTCTGGAATTCAAAGAGCAGGGTTGGCTGGTTATTGTGGGATGGAGTAGCTCCCCTATGTTGATAAGGTAAGGAGATAATCTTGAGTTTGTGGAAATTCGTGCCTGTTATACACCCGGTAGATATAGTTATCTGATTTTATTTTTGTAGTGGTGTGATAGAGATAACTGATGTCCCCTTTTACAGATGAGGAAATAGAAACCCAACATTTTATATCTGGTCATTATTGCAGCAGGGAATCTGTACATTCTAGAGGTCCTGGTTTTTAATGCAATGCAAGTTTTGGGCTTCTTTTCACAGCCTAGAAAGTAGAGTGCAGTCATAGCCATAAAAATGCGTGGACATAGATAATCCAATAGTATCAATCACTTGCTTTCACAATTGATCACAGACCTTCTGGGGGTGAATGAAAGCTAATTTTGCTCAATGCCCTGGGTACTTGTTTTAGAGTCATTCTTTCTGTTTTGAGTCACTGGGAAAATGCTAAAATAAAATGTATACCTGGTTAGTAATTTTGTTAATGGCTCAGCCTATGGGACAGGACCACTGGCTGTGTGCCCTCGGCACATCACTGCTCTCTTCTAGTCCTTGGGTTTTATTCTGCTAAACAGAAGGTGTCTGGGCTCAGATCCTTCCAGCCCTGTTGATCGAGGACACTTAGGGCAAGTCTCTGCCAGTCCTCAGAGGAGGTGGTGGCAATGAGAAGTTGGAGGCATACAGGGATGAACTTGTCTCTCCATGTATGCAGAGTTTTTTCCCAAACTGTCTGGTCATGAGGGGAAAGGCCTTCTAATCTTCAGAGCAGTGACTTTAGATCTGTATCTAGGGATTTCCAATGTGGCTTTTCTTCTGTAATGAACAGATATGGAGACAGGATTCTTTTTTCAGTGCTACTATTAGTAATGGCTTCTTTTTGTTGAACCTTTTGTGTGGGCCAGCCCTGTGCCACCAGTGTCACATACACTAACCCATTTAATGGGAACAACAATGCAGCAAGGTAGGGATTTCATCCCCATCTTACAGAGGAGGAGCTTAATAAGAAAGTAGCGAAGTTAGGCTTTGGAACAAAGACTGAGATTGAGTCTGACACTGCCTCCCTGCCTCTCCTGCTGTTTCTAAGGTTTTGAAAATCATCTGTAGCTGGGTTCTTCTTATATTCAGACTTAAGAAGGCCAAAGAAGCTCCCCACACAGCCTTCTGGGCTTTGGGAGGGTTTGGAAGCTGGCTGTAAAATTATATAGGCTTTTCCCCCTTTATTTCATTGAGAAAATAAACACTTTGCTCTAAATGGCTGACTATAGTTTACTTAACCAGTCCTGCACCGACAGATATTTGGTTTGGAATCTCTTGCTGCTGTGGACAATGTTGTAACGAATACTCTTATGCATGTGCCATTTCATATGCGTGCAAGTGTATCTGGGGATGCACTTCTGGAAAATGGTTGCTAAGTTAATGCATCTGCAGTCGTAAGAGATTTGGTCAACTTCTGTCGGAGACAGGTTGAATCACTTTATATTCTCCATGATTTTATCAAAATAGAGTAGTATCAAACTATTGAGCTTTTGTATTATACACCAACAACTTAGAGCTGAATATATTTACAGGATATAAGAGATGCTATGGTTTTTTAATACAATGAGGAATGACCAAATCAAGCCAATCAACCCATCATCACCTCAACATTTAACATCTTTTGCAATGAGAACATTGAACTGAGGTTTTGTACCTTTTGGTTATCATCATCCCAAGTTCTTCAGCCCCAGCTCTGCCACCCATCATTCTATTTTCTGCTTCTATTAGTTCAATCGTCTTAGGTTCCACATTTAAATGAGATCACATGGTATTTGTCTTTCTGTTAAACCGTTGAATTTTTGCCAGTTGATAGATGAAAAAGAATATCTCAATTTAGTTTTATTTTTGCATATCTCTTATTTTAATAAGGTCATGTGTTTCAGGGTGATCTGAAGTTCTTCTTTTGTGAACTGTCTCTTTATATTGTCTTTCAAATTATCATGTTTACTTTTAAAAATTAAAATTCATTTTTTTATCAAAGACATGCAAATAGTTAACAAAAAGTCAAATAGAATTATGAAAAACAAAAATTCCTCCTCACTCCCTCTGTCCTTCAGTTTTGCTCACCAGAGGCCACCATTTTCAACTTCTTTTTTTCTATTTTATCTCTATATTTCTTTCTTCTCTCTCTCTCTTCCTCCCCCCCGCCCCGTGTCAGGGATTGAACCCAGGGGCGCTTAACAACTGAACCACATCCCCAGCCCTTTTTAAATTTTTTACTTTGAGACAGGGTCTTCTAAATTGCTTAGGGCCTTGCTAGGTTGCTGAGACTTGCTTTGAACTTGCAATTCTGCCTCAGCCTCTCATGTGTCAACAGGCCACTGGGCTCAGCTTATCTCTATATTTCTATAAATACTTATGCTATTTCTTGATTTCTCAATATTAGATATAATATGTTTATTTCAGATAAGAACTTAGCATTTATACCTAACTCCCTTACCATACACTCCCCAATGTCTCTCTTTTTTTAAACTTTGTTTATTTTTTCAATAACTTAGTACCTCACACATGCTAGGCAAGTGCTCTACCACTGAGCCACAACCTCAGTCTTCTCTGTTGTCTCTTAACATAATGTTATTGTAAACTTTTTGCTGAATCTCTGTTGAGTTTACATGATCATGTTCGTAAATATAGTATTTCCTGTGGAGCCAAATAATACAATATATTTCCTTCCTTGTAAAGTTTTTTTTTATAATTTATTTTTTAGTTGTAGGTGGACACAATACCTTTATTTTATTTTCATGTGCCGGTGAGGATCCAACCCAGTGCCCCGTGCATGCTGGGCAAGCGCTCTTCCTCTGAGCCCCAGCCCCAGCCCCTTGTAAACATTTTTGTTTTGTTTGAAGTTACTAGTCCACTCCTGGGCTAGGGATGCAGCTCAATGGTAGGGTACTTGCCCAGCATTTGCAAGACCCTGGATTTGATACCCAGCACCACAAAAAAGAAAAAAAAATCCATTTCTTTTTCCATTTGCTTAGTTTTTTTTTCATTTTCATTTGCTTAGTTTTTGAAGTGTCTTTTTCTCACAGTTTCTCATCATGCTCTTTAAGAACCTACCAGTTCCATCTCCACCCCACCCCAAGTTCTCATATCCAACACATGTTTTCTGGACTTGCAGCCCAGCTATTGCCCAGCTGCTTCCCACCATCCCCCAAACTCTCTCTGACTCTCTGCTTCGTCACATAGAGCCTCTCTCTCTTCATCCCCCTCTCTTCTCTCCTTCTTACTCTGATGAAACATATCCTCCAATAACTTCCTAAGAAAGGGTGTATGGAAGGTAAATTTTCCAGGCTTTGTATGTTGAAAATATCTCTATTCACTCGATACAGAGATTGATAATGGTTCCCCAAAGACATCTATGTCTAATCCTGGAACTGTGAATATGCTACTTTAAACGGCAAAAGGCACTTTGCAGATGTGATTAAGTTAAGTATCTCGAGATGAGAAGATCATCCTCGATTGTCTGGCTGGGCTCAGTGTAATCACCAATCCTTACTAGAGGGAGGCAGGAGGATCAGAGTTGGAGTGAGGAGCCATGGCAGTGGAAGCAAAGGTTGGAGTGATTGGCTTTGAAGATGCAAGAAGGGCTCAAGGAATGTTGATAATTTCTAGAAGAAGAAATGAGCAAGAAAGCAGATTCTCTCCTTTAGCCTCCACAGGCAACATGGTTCTGCTGATTCCTGGGTTTGGGCTCAGTGAAACCCATTTTGCATTTCTGATTGCTGTATTGCAAAACCATAATTTTTGTTTTTTCAAAAGCAACAGAATTGGGACTGGGAATGTAACTCAGTGGTAGAGCACTCACCTAGGATCCTAGCATACGTGAGGCCCTGGGTTCAATCCCCAGGACTTGGGGGAAAAAAAAAGCCACCATGCTTGCAGTTTTTCAGTAGTTTGTTACA